ACTATAGAAAAATGTCAAAAGGATCAGTTTAAGGAATTAATAAGAATAAAATAAAAATGAAAGAAATTAGTAATAGGGGCTGGGGATTTAGCTCAGGGGCACAGCATCTGCCTGGCAAGCACAAGGTCATAAGTTTGATTCCTGGTACTGGAAAAACAAAACAAATAATAGTAAAATAATAATAATAATAATAATAATAATAAAAAGAAACTAGTAATAGGAAGAATGAATAAATCAAATCTTTGACTCCTTGAAACGACCAATAATATATACCATATAAACATCCTGAAGGAAAAGATGATTGTGTTAAAATACATGAGATGCAAAAAGGGGATATACCTACAGACACGGAAGGGATTTTTCAAATATAACTTGAAACTCTTAAGAAAATTTTTTACTAGCAGAAATGGTTAATCTTACAATTTGGCAAAAACAAATTATCAAATTAAATCAAGAAGTTCATATTGGGAAGGGGAACAAAGTTGAGCCCTTGAAAAGAGCAAAAGAGCGCTTCCATTTTGTACAAAATGATGGACAACGTGAACCACCCTCCTCCTGGAAACGAGCATAACACAGGATAAAATAGAAAAAAAAAAAAACCCTCAGGATTTTAAACACATTCTCCCTGGGTCTCCCCCACCTGCTCCATGGATCCCCAAACCCACAGAGTTCAGGTTCCTTACATAAAATGGCATAGTACTTGCGTAGGATCTATGCACATTCTCTTATACACATTAAATCATCTCTAGGTTCTTTACAGTACCCAACACAGCACAAATGCTATGTGAATAGCTGTAGGCTTTCGGGAATACTGACAAGAAGAAGCACTCTGTAAATGCTCGCTACAGACACGAGCATTTACAAAAAATATGTATATTGATCCCTGGTTGCTTGAATCCAGGCAGTGGAACTTGTGGGAATGAAGATCTAACATACATCAAAACGTTTTTCCAGAAGTAAATAATCCTCAGAGGTCAAATTCAGACTAAGTTGCAGAAGGCAGATGAAATGCACTGGAATCCTAGATTTTCATCCTGAAGACTGCAGAGAACTCCAGGACCAGAACATGAAGCACAGGACTGCCTGGAGTGTGGTAGAGGACAGTCCAGGAATCTGGCTAAGCTGACACCCCATCAAAACAAGTGTGATGGAGGAATAAACTGCTCAGCAGAATGGGGCGGCAAGTGAATTTGTCTGATTAGGTCTTGAGGCTGGAAGAAAAATATATTCCTTGAGAGAATGTCAACATGAGGTGCCCCTTTGGGAGCTTGTGGCCAAATTCCCACAACCTGTGTGGACCCAAATGACTTCAAGTAGAGGCTTTAAATTTAAGTGATCTCAAGGGATTGGCTGAAGTACATGCAAATTCTTTCTGTAGCAATGCAATTTGAAGTCTGGCTTCAGAGAACTCCTACCAAGAGTTCTGGGACTCAAGGGATCATAATCAAAACAAGGCAGCCTAAGTGAAAACCAAGGGAAAAAAAGCACGGAGAACAGATCCTCACAGGCCTCAGTTAACCACAGCCTTAAGATTTAATCAGGCAAAATCATTTGCTGGGTAATTCTGCTGAATTAGAATATGAAATAACTAGATTTTGCTCAGTTTTAAAGAAACGGTAGCTTAAAAACATAAACAAGGACTAAGAAAATAAAGCAGCTAGGCATATATTTATAAAATAAATGAAACTTATAGAGAGCTAAAATTATACTGGTTGACAAAATTAAAACATAATTGAAAGACTAAACAGCTGACCAGAATCAACTGGAAAGGTAACAGTTAGGGACTAGAAAGGAACCAGCAGAAATTACTCAGGGCAGAAAGACAGAGCAAGAGGCGTGAGAACAGAGATTTTACAAAGGCCACAATACATGTCAAAGTGGAATTCCAAAGGGACAGAAAACAGGCGACAGAGGAGCAAAGACTTAGATATAGATCCGAGCTTTCTACAGTTATTAAAAGTGTATGAGCTAAGGGGCTGGGGATTTAGCTCAGCAGCACAGCACCTGCCTGGCAAGTGCAAGGTCATGAGTTCGATTCCTGGTACTGGAAAAAAACGAAACAAAACAAAGTGTATGAGCTTCATATTCTGGGATCTCACTGAATTAGACATTGGATAAATTAAGTCACACAATATTGAAATCATAGCCACTTAAAGAGAAAATTCCCAAAGGAAAAATAAAAAAAAAGACCAATCTCATGTCCAGCCACCAATACTAGACCAACGGATGGTGTCTCACAGTTGTCTTACACATGAAATAATGTTTTCAAGGCTCTTGGAAAAAGCAGTATGTCATCAGAGAGAAGTAGAGACATATTTAGATGTACAAAACCTGAAGGAAAGGACCACCAACAGTAATTCTCCAAAGCAATTGTAAGAACAACCTTTAGGCAGTTGAAATCTGGCCTCAGATGAAAGTTCTGAGTTACGAGAATTAAAAAAACTGATAAGCAGATAAATCAAAGTAAATATTGCTATATAAAAGAACAACATCAGCAAAAACAGTAATAATAATGTTTTGTCCACAGAATTAAAAGATTCTAGAAATGCTGGGCATGGTGGCACACACGCCTGTAATCCCAGCACTCAAGAGGCTGAGGCAGGAGGATCACTGCGAGTTCAAGACCAGCCTGGGCTACAAAGTGAGTGCAAGGCCAGCCTGAACTGCAAAGTGAGACTCGTCTCAAAAAGACCAAAAAAAAAAAAAAATTCTAAAACCAAAACTAGACCAAAGTAGTACATTGCTAGAAAAGAGGAAGGCAATGTTGAAGCATTTTCTATTATTGTGTTAAAGTACATGTAAGATAAAATTTACCACTGTGGGCATCTTTATGTGCTATAAATACATTCACATTGTCAGGCAAACATTATCATGCTCCATCTCCAGAACTTTCCCTCAGGTGAAATTAAAACCCAGTACCTCTTAAACAGGAACTCCCTAGTCTGCTCTCCCCTGCTCCCTAGAAACTATTCTTCTACTGTCTGCCTCTATGAATTTCATGATTCTGGACCCTTTCATTATTATACAAGCAGAGTTGTAGCAATATTTTTTCCTTTTGTGTCAGGAATATTCCACTTAGTGTAATTTCTCAATATTCATCCACGAAGAGCTGATGGTATAGCTCAGTGATAGAGCACAGGTCTAGCAAGCTTAAAACCCTATGTTATATCCCCAGCAAACCCCAGCTCAGTTCACCTGTTTCAGAATTTCATTCCTTTTTATGGTTGAATGGTATTCCACTGTATGGATATACCACACTTTGTTTATCCAGCCATCTATTTATGGTCATTTGAGTTGCTTCTATATTTGTTACTGAATTATGGTTTGATGTACAGTATCTTTTCAGCTGTACAATATCTTTTTAGCTCCACTTCCAACTTTCAGTGTGTGTGCTCAGAAGTGGAACTAATAGGTTTTATGGCAATTCTAGGTGTCATTTTTTGAGGAATCACCATCCTGCTTTTGACAGCATTTGTACTATTTTACATTTTCATCAGTAGATGCATACTTTTCTAATTTGTCTCGGTGGATTTAAATTTTCTCAGTCCGCACCAGGATCTGATAGTTTTCTTTTTAGTAATAGCCATCGAAAGGTATGAAGTGATAGCTCATTGTGACTTTGCATTTCCCTCAAAATTAATAATGTTGAGTGTCTTTTCATGAGACTAATAATGTTGAGTATCTTTTCATGTATCTTCTCTGGAGAAATATCTGGTCTTCTGACCAGTTTTGCGTGAGATTGTCTTTTTGATGGTAAGTTGTAGCAGCTCTTTAGATATTCTGGAAATGACACTCTCACTTGTCCTCTCCTTTCCAGTTCCATTGATTCCTGCGCTTTTCTATATGTTTCACATACATTTATTAATTATATTGTTTATGAACAGAGCTTGAGCCCTAAAGCCAACTTTTATTAAGATTATATTTCATTAACAAATCAAGACCAGGCATTTACATAAAGATGCCCAAATGACTCTGCTAATGAAAGGTAAAGTCAAGGATCTAAAATCCTGGCTCTTAGCTGGGCAAATGGGCACCCACATGTAGTACCAACAACTTTGGAGGCAGAGGCAGGAGGATCGCTTGATCCCAGGAGTTGCAGGCCAACCTGGGCAACATATCGAGAATCCATTTCAAAATAACAGCTAAATCCACAAAATTCTGCCTTTACTACTATTTATATGTCATCTTCAGTTAACAGAAAGATGGGAAATTGCACTCTGGTAAAAACATACTAAGAAGAGAAATTGGTTTAAAAAATAGTAACTCGAGGCTTTCTTTGAGGCACAACTGTGGGAATTTTTAGAAACCAAATTTAATTTGCACACGTAAAGATGTGACTGTAATTTAGTAAATAAATGCAAACCCTGTTAGCGTGCTGGTTGGTGTGCTTGGCATTATTCCTTCCTCTCTCCGTTGTACCACAAGACTCGGTGCCAGAGAGCTACATTTCTCCGCGCTGCTCATCAGCGGGGTTCCACCTTAGGTCTAGCCTTTGAGAGAAATTTTTAGGGGATAAAAAGTAGACTATTGTTCTTCTAGCAGATGTGAGCAGATACGTGAGTTTAGCAAGTGTAAAATTTTGCAGCAGCCCCTGAAATTCTGTAGCAACCTCAGGATGTTTCTTGCAGGGGAGAGGCGCTCCCACAAGTAGATTTCTGGATTTGAAACCTAACTGCACCCTTGAAGCTAGCAGCAGCCTTCCCCACCTTCCCTTCTACGTCTTCTATTCTTCCATAAACACATAGGAACTTGTATTAGGTCTCTTCTCCTTACACACAGTTCAGTATTATCAATTACCCATGATGCATTATTCTTACCACGACCCAGAATTATCATTATTTTGAAGAAAGTATGTTTATAAATTCCCACCTGGTCCCACATTTGCCAATTTAAACAATGTCCCAAGACCCATTTGGGTATCTCGATGTGCATAAGCTCTGCCTAGAGTCTTCTTCTTTTAAGCTCTTATTGCACTGCTCAGTCTCAGAAGAGTCTCTCACCTGCCCAAGCTCTTCATTAAGATTGGATGTTCTAGCCATGGCATGAAGGCCACTTTTTTCATCATGCATATCTTCATCCTGCAATAAATGAAAAATATAGCCGAAGCCAAAGTCAGAATGAGGCTCAACATTTCTTCAAAAAGGCTCCACGCCACTGATCTTTCTGTGTGACTGACATTGAGAAAGGATTTACAGTGGAGAGAGTAGAATGCTCCTATTGAACGAATAGATGTTAGTTTCTCCCACATGTTAAGACCACTGGTGCAGGAGAGGCAGTACCTCGGTGTTGGGTATCTAGGACTGAAAAACTCGACTTTCAAATTCCTATCTCTGCCTTAGCCAAGCTGTGGACTCTGAAAAAATTAATGAACTCTGTGCCTTGGTTCCTACATCTATAAAGGGGGAGCAACAAGTTGGATCTCATATTACTCTAAGGAAAATTAAATGAGAATAATTTCAAAGTACTTTCCCTCATTTGGTGTAGGTTAAAATAGTATTCCCAAGGTTGAAATGTAGCTCAGTGGAAAGTTACTTGTTCAGCATAGATAAGGCCCTTAGTTTGATACTCAGCACTGTCAAAAAAAATAGTGCTCTTCTTAAAATTGAGGCAACCCAGTGACAGACTGAGAGGGTATTTTGAACATGTGACATTTAGCAATACTTCTATTTGGAAGAAAAATATTTAAAGGTATTATTCAAAATTGCAACCACACATTCAGACTGTAAAATGAATACACCCCCCAGCTTACTAAGTAATAACAACACTCAATACACGGTTGTCACCTAAGAAACCTCTTCCTTAATTTGAAGGGCCCCTGGGTTGATTATGTTTCTGTCATTCTAGCCAAGGTCTGTAAGGTTGCTGGAGTCCCCTCCTCTATTGGGTATACTGAATTTCAATGAATCAAATGTCTCTCTACACTTGTTACTAACCATCTCTTAAATCACACAAAAAATGATATCTTCAAGATGAATGCAGGGGCTGGGGACTTAGCTCAGTGGCACAGTGCCTGCCTGGCAAGCACAAGGTTGTAAGTTAGATTCCTGGTACCAGAAAAAAAAAAACAAGAAAAAAAAAGATAAGTGCAAAGAGGCCCAGGCCTGGTGAGTTCTGCTGATACCAACCCTCACCTTTCCTAGAGAATGCATATCTTGCCACTGGGCTTCAACACCAAGGCATACAGTTAGCTATATCACAAGGATTTGGTTAGTTATATAAATTGTCAGAAAACTCAAAACTTGTCTCTATAGAGAATATTTTTATTTTAATTTTGAGAAAATTTCTGGTTTTA